CTCGCGAAATGACGTCTGAGGAACGAGGCCAGAAATTCCATACTGATGACGTGCCAGTTTCCAGATGTGGGCAGTGCTTCTGATTGGTCGAAGCAACTTTTCTTTTTTCTCGTCAGGTTGGATATTTAAGAGAAGTAATCCTTAAAGTCCTCAATTTAGTTCTGTTGTTTCAGTCCTACTGGGACAATGGCATCCAACACATCAGGTGGGGAAAAACTTTGAGTAAATATATTTTTAAAATGTTTCCATTTCTCGTTGCCTCAAGCCTCTGTTTCAAAGCGAGGCTAAATGCGAAGACATTGATATTAAAAGGATTTTTTTAATCTCATTCAAATAAAACTCGTATTCACAAGAAAGGTTTTGGGGCACTCAGCCTCGGTTTGAAACTGATAATTTTTGGAACTTGGGAATAGTCTCTTAAGACGCCACGAAATGACCGAGGTTTTCAAAAATTTTATTTTCGCCCTTTTCTAAATTTTAAAATCCCTCAAACATTCCTTATCGTTTTTCGTGTCTTTTATTGCACATAATTTTTGTAATTTTTGTTATTTTAAACCTCTTAAGTCCCCAGAGTGACCAACATCAATTTTCTCGTGTATAATATGTTCAATACATGATCAAGAGATAAGGTTGTGAGGATCATTAAAATGTTCACAAAAGGGAAGATACTTTGATCCTTTATCAAATTCTCTCAAATAATTCTCAATGGAAATGTGTGAAGATCAGTTAGGAGAATTTGTTGCGGATATTGGGGATTAAAAGGTTAACTCTGCCTGCTTGTCTCAGTTTAACCCTTTAAGCCCTGAGAGTGATCAGCATCAATTTTCTCCTTGTAATATCAATGCTTTGTAAAACAGTGTGGTCATGAGAATTAAGGACATGATCACACAAGCTGAATATAATTGATACTTCAACAAATTCTCCCCGCTACTGTAAACGGTTAAACAAAGGGGCCTTTACACGCCATCCATCAAAGTCGCCTGTGTTTTTGAAGTCTATTCGCCGTAGAGAACCAACTATCTCTAAAATTTGATGTAGTAGAAAATTATCGAAGAACCCTGCACCTTACAATTGTACTTTTCTTTGTTTTTCCTTTTTGTTTAGTGAGAAAAAGTTCAACAAAATTGACGACGAATTTACCAAGTGTAATACATTCCTTGTTTCCTGTCTTGGAAATATCGTGAAGCGAGGGGTATTTCCACATTGTAAGTCATTTCTCTGAAGAGTTAAAAACTTTTCTTCAACAAATTTAAGTCCTTCATCACTGGACATGCTCGAAAGTTTAGTCTTACAACGTAGTTTTGAGCCACTCTTTACGGAAGGAATGTTCCTTTCCAGTCTTTGCCTTCTTTTTGGACTGAAGAAAAGCGCACGGAGATCGGCATCTAACGTCACCACTCTCGCATTTGTTGTCTCCACACTTTTCGTCGTCCTCGCTTTTCAGTGGAAAACGCACGAAAACGCCGAGGCCCTCTTTAAGATGGGGGTGCGGGGAGGGGTTGGGGTGAAAGTTTTTTCTTCGCAACAACATCACATTTCGTTCAATACCGAATTTGTCTGAGCCGAAAGGCCGAACGCGTCAGTGTCGAAATGGGGAAAAAATTGTAAAGTTACCAACGCTCTGTTAAGATATCAAACCAACAAACCTTCAGTTTCTATACATCGATATACACTTGAACGCTAGCTGCCGAAAACGATTTCCTGGCATAGAAAAAAAAACCGGGAAAAGATTAACGCCCTTCAATCTAGTGTGTCTCTGCTATGGCACTGCTCTATAACGTTTTGCCTACATCTGGCATTTACGAAAGTATTTTTTTGAAAGTAATGGTGCAAATCCTTGCAGTATACCGAAGAATTTTATTGACCTTTCAAACAGTTGAAGTGTAGCAAGCTACATTTATGACCCCCTCCCCCCCCCACCCCCTAAAAAATAAAAAACACAGCAACAATAACTACGACAACAACAGCAAGCCAAATTGTCCGTGTAACACTCATAGAAAACTTCCCAGTCATTTTGTTTCAGCCTTTTTTATAACTCTTACCCCTTTCCGTTTTTGTATTCTCAGTGGATTCCTTGGCTTTTGCGTTATCTTCATCGCTAATCTTCACATCGAACAGCTGACAATTTATCCTGCTGATGCTCAACCTGAAGATTACATATCAATCTGTTGAAAGCTTCACATCTTGAAGTGGGGAGATTAGCCTTTGAAACTCTTACAGGCAAATTTAGACCACAAAAACATCACTGAAGAAGTCACCTTGTGCGTCAAGTATGCATGCGATGTAACCAAGTGATCATACTTCAAGACCCAGTCGCAGAAAACACTACAATATTTACATCTTGTTCAAGAAACCATGTGCTTTTATAATCTTATGCCTTGTCTTGGTTGTTCTCTTGTTCTGTAATGGGGAAGCCAAGTGGAGTGGTGAGTTCTTGGGCCACCCACAACAGCCTGATATAAACAGCTCTGTGTCTACGTTAAATTTGTCTGGTAACGAGAGGGCAAATGACTGGAGCTGGATGGAAACAGATTACTAAACCCTGTTGAAGTGCAGGCATATAATATTATATGGATGGGAGGCACTCAGTGCTTCATGACTGTTCCCCACATCGTTGATTTTGAAAGCAGTGAGCGGCTCACGGGGAAAGTAGAAAATGTAATGCGATCAATGAGCTGGGTATTCACTCATTCGCTCCGGGGAATTTTGCCGAAAAAGCTACAACTAACCAAAAAGCCGTTTACGGGTCTTACAATGCCCTTCTAATCCAGCTGCAAAATATTGGTTTCCGAATTTCGGGCATGTGCAGAAAGCAAACTTTTTGATCTTGAGTTTAAAAGTGACACAGCAGTCTTGAATTTTTCTTTTAGCTTTTCCTCGTCCCCTCTTCTTCCGCTTTTCCTGCCTCGCGTTTTATTTCTTTTTGCTGGACAGTCATTTAGTGGGCTTCATATTGGTGGGAAACGTTTTAGGGAAAGCTTGTGGGATCTTAGGATTAGGTGAAAGGAGAGGTAGGTGGGTAATGGAACAAAATTTTCATGGGAATTTTCGGGTCAACGTTACATAGATTTCTGCATTTTTCTCTAGCCTTTTCCAGGCTCTCAGATAGTGGGGAAGACGCGAAAGTGAAAGGAACGCGAAAACTTGGCGGGGCGGGAAAAAGGAAAAAAGAAGGGTGTTCACGCTTTCTCGATTCAGCGGACCCAACTATCTTGGAGCCTGGAATTCATGCTACTTTTTCTCCGGTCTACTTGACCAAATTATGCTCATTCTCGTATGGTGTGAAAGATCTCTTCACCCTTCACAAGTTAGATGACAAAGTTGTCCTGGACCACCAAAAACTGATGACGTCACAAGCGGTAGAAGGGACGTGGCAAACTCGTTCCCAGGGTTCTCTATCGCTTTGAGGCAAAAGAGAGAACCCTGGAAACGAGTTTGGGATGTGGATCCACACAGGCGGTTACGGGCGTTTCATGGGCGAATGGGTTAAGAAAGAAAATAGAAAAAACTGACAAGTCAGTGTTCGTTAGCCCTCAGAAAATACCTACAGTGCAGGTTACATGTATATTTATTGCAACAAGAAAATCTCACTCTACATAATAAGTTTGTCACATGCTTTTCTGGTCCTTATTTTTAATAGACAATGTCCTATTTCTGCCAAGAAATATTTATAAGAGATGTACATGTATTATTGTGTTATGCTGCTCTAATAATAATAAAAAAAACTTTAATAATGAAAGGATTATTGTCAGTGACAAAATCTTCACATCTTCCCTTATTCCAATGACTATTGGTTATGTGTGCCAAAGTCCTGAATTTAAATCATCTAATCTGGTGATCCAAGAGATTAAACATCTATGGACAAACTAAGAAGGACAGAAAGTAAACTACACTCTTTTCAGTTTTGTGGTGCAACCTACTCAAGAAAAAATTTTTCAGTTGTACTCTTACACTAGTTTTGAGTCTGTGATGAAATCCCATGGTATGTCATTCCAATTAGACCTACTATTTATTTAGTATGTAGCATTATCCCATGGTTTGACCACTCAAATGACACCTCTTCAGCAGTACTTTCTCATGGTACTATTTGTTTAGTATGTAGTTCTAACTCTTGAGTCTGTGGATGAAATCCTTTGGTGTTACCATTCTTCAGCAGTACTTTCACATGGTACCATTTATTTAAAATGTAAATAACTTTTGAGTCTGTGGATGAAATTCTATTGTGTGACCATTCGAATGAAACCTCTTCATCAGTACTTTCTTAATTTTAATTTGCTCAGTTTACTTTAAGTATAGTTAAACGTTAAGGCTCTGTTGATGAAATACTATAATGTACAATAACCACTCAATACTTCAGTAATACTTTCACATAGTACTACTTATTTAACTTGTTAGTTCTAACTTTTGAGCCCGTGGATGAAATCTTATGGTGTGGCGATTCAAATGAAACCTCTTCAGCAGTACATTCACATAGCGCTATTTATTATTTTAATCTGTTAGTTCTAACTATTGAGCCCATGGACGAAATCCTATGGTGTGACCATTCAACTAAAACCTCTTCAGCATTCATTTGGCATGGCCCTTTGCTTGGGTGCTTGGGACTAAATGACTCAACTGGTATGCTACACTGATTGAATTCAATATTAACTTCAATATTGTAATCATGTTTACAAGGTTGTCACCAAGGTTAAAGGTGACTAGGTATAGCCAATTACCAGCTGAAGGTTGGGCTCATAATTGGTGGAGGAAATCCTCTGCCCCTGGTCCTCAGTGACGGCCCTGTGTCAATGTAAATATGTTACTCCTCTAACTCTTTCTAAGGTTATCTTCTCACACCTTGCCATGATTATAGACTTGTTGCTATTAAAGACACTAACTAAAAGGTCCTGATGGTCCAAAATAATTGGGGCTGACTGTGAAGTCCAATGTTGTGCAAAAAGCAACAACAACAACAGCAACCGAACAAAAAAACAAAAAGAGAAAACTGGCTGCAAACATCATCAGCATTCGTGAAACAAGATCTGTGGAAACTGCCCCCCTGAATCATTTGTACCATTTGGACTGGTTTGACCATTGAACTTGAAGCAAATACCATCGCACTCAACCGTATTCAACCCACTGGAACCATACCATGAACTTGTGCCTGAGATATTGGCGCAAATCCTATACTGCACACCTGCTTCAAGATGAACAGGGCGATCAAACAGAACATCAAAGCCATAATAACCATCAGTATATTCTGCATCAGTCGTAAAGCAGCCTTCCACTGAAAATAACTCTTGATCGCTTTCATTTCTTCCTTGAACTAATGAGTACAGCTTGAGGGAGACTTCATACGAATACCCCCGACTCCCAAACAGCCGCACGCCACGCATAACAATTGGGGTATTTACTGAAAATACCAAGCCATCAGGTATTCCACTAGAGTAGCCCCAACCATGACTAACTTGGGGAAATCTCTTGCAGCGCGAAAATGAATGAGTGTATAACATTCTTGGTCGTTTGATGAATTTAGGATTACTTATTGACACTGAGCTGAACCACATAAATAACTCAATAATTTCGTCTTTGGGGAGGAGACCAGAGCGAGGGACCTCTCGTGCAAACTGTGCTTGAGTCATAAGAGGAAAGCGAATATTGTTTATAATATCTTCCCCTGTTACTCTCCTCTTATTGTCCTTTGTGGGTTCAAGATCTTTTCTAACGCATTCCGCAGCAGCCCAGCGGTCTACAGCTTGGAATAACTCAATCTCGTGAATTGAAAGCCCATCTCGTGTGATGACTTCAACGAGGAGTTCTTTTGTTATTGATGGAAATGTCTCCGCTTTCACCGCTTCTTGAGCGCTGACATCCACAACTTCCCAGCAACGAGCAACAAGCTCGTCATCCTCGAAACTCTTTGCATGAGGAAGGATATCAAAAACGTTTTCAGAAGAGAGGTTTTCGGTCAAAAACGTCGAGCAAGCTACTTCTAATTGCGGCACTATATACTTCTTTGCCAAGTATAAAACTTGCAACACCGAACTCCCAGTGAGGTTAACTTCATCACAATACAGAAACCGAAGGAATTCAAGAAAGCTCTCAGAGTCACAGTCAGGCAGCTCGATTTTGTCTTTTCTCTCTGAAAGTCTGCCGTAAAACATGGCATAAAACACTGGACTGCTTACAGCGAGCACAAACTTGTGAGCTTTGAATACAACCGCGTCCTCCATTGCATCTTTGATCACAAACGTGACATCGCTCATGACGTCGTTATTGAGCATCATCTTAAGTCGTTCCTTAATGGTCTTTCCCTTCGTATGGGAATCTTCGCCGTCGTTTGAAGCCATGACGTGTTTGTATTGAAAAAATCGCTACTGGTCGGTCAAATACACACGTAGTTCACACGTAGGACAAAGCTACTTCGCCCGTTTCCAGGGACTTTAGTCAAAAATGGCGGATCCTGTTTAGTTCCCAGATCCACGCGATCATTTTTCTTCCTTTTGCTCGTTATCCTCTTCACTTCCATTTTCTCAGTTTTTTTCTAATGATGGTACCGAGAGATAGATAAATCAACGTTTTACCTTGCTTTTCACAAACATGCGAACTCTAAGGTTCAAAAGCCGCCTGCACAATTGCGTTTTTCGCTGCCGTCAATCATAATTACGATCACAAGCAACGAACCTTGAAACACAGAGAAACACACAAAACGAATCGAAAGTCACAAACGATGACCTTTTGAACCCGTCAAAGTAAAGTTTTGTTTCCTAAATAAGAGGTCCGTAAAGAAGATTGGCGGCAGCGAAAAACGCAATCGTCAGTTGGCTTTTGAACTTCAGAATTGGCATGTTGTTAAAAAGCGCAGTATAAAGAGGGTCTCAATGAGGTGGTGGCTTTTACGGTTATCGGCTAAAATTTTGGCTCTTTTACGGCTATCGGTTAATTTTTTTCAGTTACGGTTAACGAAAAAGTTAAAAATTTTAAAACTTCTTTTGTTTCAAAAAGTTAAATATTAATTAACCTGTATTTTTTTTAAATAAAAGGTCTTCGGATCATCTCGGGATGAAATAAGCTTTTCTTTTGAAAAATTTTAACATTTGATAGATTATATTTTTTATAAAGTATTGCACTTCTAGTATTATTTTATAGTCAATTTAAAAATAATCTTTGAGAAAAAGCAAAAGCAGACACACGAACGCCCAACTCAAGGCCGGGGCGCGACATTCATAACAGAAATGGCCGTTTTCACACTAGAGAAGGATTATTCGTGTGAGACAGGTTATCCGTTTGATGATTCGCGTCAGATAGGTAATATGTCTTAATTTGAAAATGGAATAGTTTTAATTTTGAATGAACAATCCGCCCGACTTTTGAAGACGGGATTATCCGTTCCAGATAGCCTGTGTACAGCCGCCCCCTCCCCTCAGAAAAAATCGGACAAGGGGTTTCTGTGGGGAGGACGCGACTGTACACAGGCTAGTCTCAGACGGATGATCCATTTCTAGCTCTAGTGTGAAAACGGCCAATAACAAAATTCTCATGTCCAGTGTTTTTAATGATAGCGAAGGACTGTACGGAACGACTGTCTGCCGTTGCCTTGTCCGTAGGCCGCATTATTCTGCGCGGCTAATGCGTTTCGGGTCACGTGGTCCGAGCGAAATCGCCACCGAAATGCCTTGACCAAGATTGCGTGGGAAGACGCCGGACAGGGACTAGGCATGGCAATGTCTACCGTAGCGTCAGAGAAAAACAGGGACTGAATGTTGTTTATCGGCAACGTGTTTTACGAACAGTGACATCTCTGCGTGTTGTTTCACTAGTGTTTCGAGGGCATGACCTCCGGAAAGAAGCCACACTTTCACTATGGAAAAAATTAGTTCCCCGAGAGAGCGCCGGATGGAGCCAAGGTCTTGGTTGAGGCGCTTCACCTAACGTGCGTACGGAGTCACACTAGCCGGGAAATAAAAAACGCAACCATAAGTGAGTTTAGTACCTTCCTTAAACGTAGCAAATCTAGGTAACACTTTCTGTTACGGTTAACTCTTTATACCCTATTTACGGCTAACGGTTAAAATTGTTCAATTTTTACGGCTATCGGCTAAATTTTTGGCCGTTTTACGCCTATCGGTTAACCCCATTGAGACCTTCTATAAATGATGAGTGTTTTCTAAAGACGCCATAACCAATATAATTTTGGCTTATATTATAAGGAAATGTACGTATGTGTACGTATGTTTACGTACGTTTTGTAACAGGTTTTTAACCTTCTTTGCGCCCTTGGGACCCTTTACGCTAATTGTAGTGCGTGGCATTTCCCGAAAATGTGCGGCAATGCCGCGGTCTGGTAAGAACTCTGCAGTATTTTCCCGATCTCGTCGGGATTTCCCCGATTTTACTTGAAATCCCATCCTGACCAAAATGCGATCGGGATAGGAAAAAATCCCGATTTTGACATCTGTTCTGATATTTCATATGAATTCTTATGATACTTACACAAGAACACAGAGTATACCTACAACGGGACCTACAACTGATATCCAAAAAAACGGGCTCCCGGATTCTGCAGCACTTGTACTCGAAGACACGTAAACATAAATAGGCATACAAATGACTATTGTTTTTTAGCGAACATTTTAGACAGAAATTTTTTCTCTCAGACTTAAAATGGCGATGCAGAGCACCAAGATTTCAATACTTTCTGGGAGAGCATGCACCTACAACCCCGACCCCCGCCTCCCACTAACGACTCGCGCCTTCAGCACTCGCGCGATTCTTTGGTAATTGAAGAATATCCCGATTTCACTTACTCAAAAGGTTGGACAGTCTGGTAACGCTCGTGTATTATTTACTCATGATAAGTCGTCAATGTTTTGCCACGGGAGCCAACGGTAATTAATTCTGAAACATATCTGAAAACCACAACTTATCATGGTCATGTTCATCAGCGACGGATCTCGATAAAAGATCTGGATCAGCAAAAGACACAATTTTTTATTTAAAAAAGCAGCAGACCGATCAGATCGCGGTGAAAACGTAACAGCAACGATTTTGTTTTTCTCCTTTTTCATGATCTTCTTATATTTATTCTTTTGCTTTGTTTTTGTTTTATTTGCCAGAATAAACAGGCAGTTCTTACTCTTTCTTCTGATTTGCACATAAAATATGCATGAAGCTAAAAATGTTCAGCCAAAACTAAAACATGGCTACAAACTTCAAAGACTTCTTATATCGTTGGGTGGGTGCTATCACGCTGAGAGCCTTAGTGGCTAGGTATATATGCCGGCATCACTTTGCACAAAAATCAGTTTTGCTGCTCAGTCAGCTGCTCAGTGTCCATTAATTTGATCAATGTTTTTCGCTCAGATTGCACGATCTATGACGTTTTTTAAGGCTTATCTTCTCAGTGGCGGATCCAGGGTAGGGCCCCTCTTATTTTTTAGACCAAAAAAATTGGGGGGACCAGCCCCCTCCTCCTTATCTGAAGGTCTGGATCGGCCACTGCTTCTGACATCCACGGCAGATAGAAAGAAGGCTTGATGAACTTTTGTTTTTTGTTTTTTTTCTTTTCCACCCTGATGCGTGTGAAACAACAATTTTAATAATTTATTGACGAGAAAAACTTCCCAAAAAATTACGAGACAAATAAAGAAGCAATTTATAGAGGAAAGAAAAAAAGAACACCACAAATAACTCTTCTGAAAGGCTGGGCTTTTAATCCAGACAGTTTGGGCGTGATCACATAGCAAGCGGCTTATAAACTTAACCATAGAAAGTTAAAAGAAATATTTTACACAAAAATGTGACTAGAAAGCGACAGCTCTCAGGTGGGTGAAAAGCGGGATCGACGTCGAATGTGTCCATATAATAATTACCCTCGACTATGTTTTGTCAACGAATTTCTGTTTATATTTTCCTTGTGAAACTGATTAGGTCGGTAGCCTGCATCTTCTAAACAAGTCGGAGTTCTAGAAAACTGAGGACAAAACCCCAAGCGTGACGTCACGACTGTACAAAGACAAATCGCGCGGAACTGTTTAAAAGGAGGAAAGCAACAACCCGTGTTCTCCTCCGATGACAATTTTTACACATCTTTCTTCTGGTATAGGCAACGCGGGTATAAAAACCGCTGTGTTTTAATTAGATATACCGACAAACTGATATAGGATGTTAAAGTAATGGTCAATAATGCCGCTGTTCCCTTTTAATGCTAAGAGGTTCTATTTCTTCCGCTTTCTCGCCTGAAGAGCGACAAGCCCTCCCTGGCAACTCAGTCTTTCGTCGGCCTAAGGAGGACTAAATAAGAAACCGTCTTCCAAAAAATTTATGATTAAAATTCGTTTCGTGATCAGAACTTGTAATATGTCTCAAGCCTGACAGTTTGAAATGATAGACTGAAACGAGCTGACGATAATGACTACTAGTCGTCATATGGCACATAAAAATTATATTTGACCCAACGAAAACAGCTAGCATTTTGGCGTGAACCGTTTAAAATTCAGTACAAGCACCACTCGTAATTACGCAGACAAAAGCCTGAGGGTCTGGCGTCAAGTTATTTTTGATTCGTGGCCAAACGTTTACCAATTTGGAACTTTCTTGACTCTTTTGTTGTTCTTTAAAGCAAGAAAGGGAGTTAGAAGTGGGAGATAAACACATCGATTTGTGACAAATATATGAGAGCCTTTATTCCATTTTTTGAATTGACCGGACGTGAACAAGAAAAAAAGAACACCACAAATAACTCTTCTGAGAGGCTGGGCTTTTAATCCAGACAGTTTGGGCGTGATCACATAGCAAGCGGCTCATAAACTAAACCATAGAAAGTTAAAAGAAATATTTTAAAATGTATCCCAGAAATGTGACTAGAAAGCAACAGCTCTCAGGTGGGTCAAAAGCGGGATCGACGTCGAATGTGTCCATATAATAATTACCCTCGACTATGTTTTGTCAACGAATTTCTGTTTATGTTTTTCTTGTGAAACTAATTAGGTCGGCAGCCTGCATCTTCTAAACAAGTCGGAGTTCTAGAAAACTGAGGACAAAACCCCATGCGTGACGTCACGACTGTTCAAAGACAAATCGCGCGGAACTGTTTAAGAGGAGAAAAGCAGCAACAACCTGTGTTCTCCGCCGATGGTAGGCAACGTGGGTATAAACACCGCTGTGTTTTAATTAGGTGCCTAAAGTGAGGATATACGGTTTGATTTCAGGAAAACAAAAATACACCATAGCCCGCTGTGAAGTTAAATGCCTGCCGCAGAGCCTGCCGATCCCTATATGCAGAATTAAAGAGGAAAATAAGATGTAAAGACAAACTGATATAGGATGTTAAACTAATGGTCAATAATGCCGCTGTTCCCTTTTAATGCTAAGAGGTTCTATTTCTCCCGCTTTCTCGCCTGAAGAGCGACAAGCCCTCCCTGGCAACTCAGTCTTTCGTCGGCCTAAGGAGGACTAAATAAGAAACCGTCTTCCAAAAAATTTATGATTAAAATTCGTTTCGTGATCAGAACTTGTAAGCTTTCTCGCCTGAAGAGCGACAAGCCCTCCCTGGCAACTCAGTCTTTCGTCGGCCTAAGGAGGACTAAATAAGAAACCGTCTTCCAAAAAATTTATGATTAAAATTCGTTTCGTGATCAGAACTTGTAATTTGTCTCAGGCCTGACCAGTTTGAATTGATAGACTGAAACGAGCTGACGATAATGACTACTAGTCGTCACATGGCACATAAAAATTATACATGACTCAACGAAAACAACTAGCATTCTGGCGTGAACCGTTTAAAATTCAGTACAAGCACCACTCGTAATTACGCAGACAAAAGCCTGAGGGTCTGGCGTCAAGTTATTTTTGATTCGTGCCCAAACGTTTACCAATCTGGAACTTTCTTGACTCTTTTGTTGTTCTTTAAAGCAAGAAAGGGAGTTAGAAGTGGGAGATAAACACATCGATTTGTGACAAATATATGCATGAGAGCCTTTATTCCTTTTTTTGAATTGACCGGACGTGAACTACGTGAGTTGTCTTATGATCAGGCGGGTACATGTATACTGATGTAGATTGATAAATAGGCAGGCTGTGGAGAATGAAATATCTGTGTGGCCTACAAAATATAAATATGAATACAACTGGAAATAGTTTCATTTATCCTTGTGATAAAATTAATTTAAAATCTGCCTACGTTGGGCGGAAATAAGGCTTTAGGGGTTTTTTGTATTCCTGTAGCTTCTGCAAAGACTACAAAGCATTTAGCTGCAATTAAAATATTGGTTATTCGTCCAGACTTGTAACTTAAAATAAAAATTAACTGAGCGTCATATAAAACATCTTCTTTTTATACGTTGAATTTCTTAGTTGTAAAAATTCTAGCCTCTTCTCTTTTGTTTTTTCTATACTGACTAGGATAAAACAAAACACTTTGTAAAACAACTACATGAATTAATAAATATCATTAAAATGTTCCTAGTTTATTAATAGTGTTTACCTGCGGCAAAGTGGTTTTTTTTTCAGCACGCGAGCTTTATACGTGGACTATGTCTGCAGTATTTTCGTCAATAAACAGAAAACAAAATAAAAGCTACTGGACAATGTTAACAAAGCACTATATAATTATATGCTCTTACACTAAAACTCTTTTCAAAATAACCACCTGTTAAATATATAAAATCTTCACGTTTTTTTACCTACAGATATGGCAAACTCTACATATCATTGTCAGTAAAAAGAGCATTTCTCTGCGAACTAGCTTATTATTAAACCCATAAATCCAGGGGTTTAAGACAGCGCTCGTGTAAGCCAAAAATGTGTAAAATATGTACAATTGACGGGGAAACCATTCCGCGCGAGTTGAGTCGATGATGTCTATAATAACGCAAGGGAGCCAACAAAACAAGAATCCTATAATAATAATGAAAATTATTTTGGACAGTTTCACTTCTTCTCGGCTTAAAACCGATCTGGAATCGTGTTCTCCTCGTGAGGCGTCGTACTCTCGACGATGATTTTTTATGGTCCGCAGAACTCGTATGTAACACGAGAAAATGACGATTGTTGGAAAAGCGACGAAGAGAAGACTAAATGCAATCGTAAAACGAAAACTGTGGTCGATCGTCGGGAAGGTCATGACACAGATTACTTTTCCAGGGTGAAATACATATCTAGAGGAGAGAAAAATAGCCAGAATTCCCAAAACAACAGCTGTCAAAACGCTGACGGCGATGATTATAAGTAACGTTTTCCATCGTGTGAAAATGCGCTTGTAAAGCCACGGTCGAACGACATTCAAGTTTCTGTTCGTGGCCGTCAAAGTAATGATCTGAAGTGATTGGAAAACCAACAGATGAATGCTGAAGCCTTGAATTTGACAAATCGTATCACCGAACGGCCAATAGTCTACTATCAAAACACCTAGAGTTAGCGGCATCGCAAAAGCCGCTAGCAGAATGTCCGCAACGCATAACGCAACTATGAACATGTTCGTGATGGTCCGTAGAACTTGCTTTCGATAAACCGTTATGCAAACTAATATATTTCCTCCCAAAGATATGACGGTGATGACAAACAGCACAGAGATTTCCAGGAGCTTGATCGCCAAATGTCGAGATCGCAGGGTATTTTCTGGTACCGTATCCAGAGAATTATTGGACATAGCTTGAAAAGCGCAACTCGCGCGCCTGGAGCAGTGAAGAGCGGATGATTGCTGGATCAACGTGTAACTGGGTCAGTTAATTGTTGTGTGACTCAAACACTGAAACGATATAAATAACAATCGGTAGCGTAATTACGTAGTATGACTCAACTATTGGATATGCTAATGTTTTAACTTAAGAGTAGGCGGGGTGTTAGAATAATTCATCCGCTTAGGGTAATTGGCGAGACGCGAAAAAGGAAGTCATTTACATTCTATAATAACAAATTTTGAAAGAGAAAATTAATGAAAACATTTTTTTAGTTGATTTACTTCAATTCTAAGACTGAAATCTCTGTTTATTTTACTTCCACCCAACTTCCTGTCTTCAATATTGTAACGTTTCTTTGTCATCAGCCTCTGAACAATGGTGAAAGTTTTCATCTGAAATTCTGCTTGCCTAAAAGACTAAATCTTGGTCTGTGCGCCTGCTGTACTTAATTCTACGCTACAGCCCACATTCTTCTGGAAATTTCAAGAGAACAGTGAAGGACGAAAAGTGGCACGTTTAAACTTTGAATGTGTATTTTTTTAACATTGATAACTTGTGCGCTCCAGTCTGTCAAAAAAAATGCTAGAACTTTCACTCATCTAACATGCAAAACGAAACTGTTTTAATATAATCCCCTATGAAATCAGCTACTACTTAAAAAAGATCCATTTATTGGTAAATGATCTTAACCTGTGATAAGTTGGTTTTTCCTAATCAGTTTTAAAGTGACAATATAGGAAGGGTAATATCGCGAGCTAAAATATTGAGAGATGTTATCTTTCATGACTTTCAATTTCATTTAAAATTTGAACACTTTTATACCTACCAGCCCTCTCGACCTTCTAGTTACTTCACCAATATGACGTAGAATTACTTTAACGAGCTTCCGTCCTGAGATTTCTCTAGTCTTCTTTTCTTGTGTGTGCTTTTCTTTTTAACATTTTCTTTATCTCATAAATTCCGTGCGGTCTAATTAGCATCAAATTTATTCTTGTGGCGATCGAATCTTTGTAATCATAGTGAAATCTATAAAATCTTTGACCTTTCGTGCCCTCTGCTTTGAATCCCTCAGTGCTTGCAGAATCTCCTTTTTCTGTGACGGAAAGGGCTCGTCTTCAGTGTCAGTGCCACAGCTGACGTCATTACTATCATAGGATAATACATTATATATAGTGTAACAGATTATAATTTCCTGTTCTTTCGGATCGCTTCTCTGGTGCTCGTGACTCTCTGCCTCTAGCGGTTCTTCTCCGTCTTCTGAATCTCGTGGCTCCCCTGGTTTTCTGGTTCTTTGGCTTTCGTTGTTCTTCTGAAGATGAACGGATATAAAGCCGGAAATGAGACTCTCAGCACGTCCGCAGGGCGCAGCCCTTTTTTTCTCCTCTCCCCAGTCTCCCTGTGACACAAAGAGGACTCATTTGAGTAGAGAAGAACTACTTTGACTAAAATAAGTGGCGAAACGGAAGTGACCGTCAATCACGCTGACTGCGTTCAACTTGATCGTTTCCGCAATAAAGAGAATGTTTTACAGATGTTTCCTTCCACAAGGGTTAGTGTTGCTCTCCTATGCTGCCTACATATCGGAAAACACGATATATACACCAGGGTTACACCAGGGTTGTATCTTTAAAGTACAATGTGAAAACGTAGAAAAACTTCCACTTAAAGCCATTTATTTCTCTGTCCCGGATGGCCTTGGCATGATAGTATTTTCACAGTTGACGCAAGCGGTATATTATGATCTATCATATTTCACGGGTTAGGGGGAAGAGAAACGAACATTTCAGACCAAGCCTTCAGGCAATTCTTTGGTTTTGCATCAGTGCGCATCTTTCACTATACATTACAAGATAGTAGCCATGAAACAAAGCCTCATTAGAGGATTATAAAGATAAGGTCGATCGAAGGGAAAAGTAGTCTGCTACACAGCCGTTTTTAGTGTCGTCACGAAATGCTCCTCCTCAGCGTTGCGTGACGACACTAAAAACGGCTGTGTAGCAGACTAAGGGAAAAGTTTCTGAAAACTTTTGTCGACAGGGTTTTGTAGCTGAGATGAGTCTCAATGTTTTCAGCGTTTAAGAATGTGTACAACCTAATGCTCAGTACGTGCAAAGGACGCAGCGAACTTCCAACATTGTTGGCCCAGCAGTGTTGGGAGTCAGTTGCTGCGTCCGTGTTGGCAGTGGTGTGCAAACGGATGCAGCAACTCCCAACAATGTTGGGACCTGCAGTGCATCGTGGGAAGGATACAACCCATAAGAAATTGTAAACTTGAAGGAGACCATGTGTAATGCGCGTGCGTGGCCCCAGCAATGTTGGAAGATTTGTGCGGAACGCGGGGATCCAACATCGTTGCGCTACGCTTCGGTGATCACGGAACAAAAGAAATGTTGGGACTTGTTAGCTCAAACGTTTGACCGGTTTCAAACTTTGTGCAACAATTCCCAACAATATGTAACAGGGTGAGCAAACGGACGCAACATGCAAAATCCAGCAATGTTGGGAGTTATTGGCCAACAATGTACATGTTGCGTCCTTTTTTTGCACGGGACCTATGCGGAACGCGTGTTGTTGAGAGAGATTTCCGTGCCAAGACCTTTACTGTGGGATGTTAATCAAACCTGCGTTGAACCAATACAATTGACAAAAAACTTTATTTAATGTTTATCGTACTACGTTCTCATTACGATATCTCAATGTTTTGAAATTCGCCCCAGGCCTCTCGAACGTCGGGAAGAATTCCGGTGGCGCGCATTTTCGACAGCTACCGCAATAACGAGCATGATGAACCACGTTTTCTGTTTCATGTTTTTAATAAGCGGTGATTTCTTTCAATGAGAAAAAACTATGGCAATGTTTTACCTGTAAGGGACAATTTAACATATCAGGGAATTTCACTACGATCGAGATCAGGGAAAATTTAACTCTTTCAAAAAAAAAGTCAGAAGGAAGTGCGAATTTAAAGATCATGTATCTTTTTTCTACTTTCATTGTTTCCTAATATTAAAAATTCTTTGGTACATACCTTTTCACAGTTAAACATGTTCGATTGGCAGAATATTGTTTCAATAAATCAAACGAAAAGCAGATTTAGGGTTTCCTATAAAATCCGTCCATTCTACACTTTACATTAAGGATAAAGTCATGTAATAAATGGATGGAGAGGATGGATGTTATCGGGCTATTATGAGGACAAATTGACAATTCATTTGGTCATGGAAAGTCCCTGTGGGGGGGGGGGGGGGGGGGGGAAAAATGTGGATTGGAAAAAATTTTTTTCAAAAAAAAAAAAAAAAAAGAAATTTGGGGTTTCCCAAAAAACCCCCCCATTTTTAAATTTAAAATAAGAAAAAAATGAATTTAAAAAAGGGGGGGGGGGGGGGGGGTTTTGGGGGTTTTTTGGGGAAAAAATGAAAATTTTTTTGGGTAAGGAAAGGCCCTGGGGGGGGGGGGGGGGGAGGGGTACTCGACCAATATTTGGGTATGGGTGAGCTGCTGACCCTGACCCTATTTATGATCAAAAATTCCTAAAATATATACCCTGTTTAGGAAGACATCCTCAATTTTAGTATCCTGTTTAGGACAACTCCCTCAATTTTATTACTAGAACAGACTCGCACCAATCATGCACACTGTTTAGGACAGACTTGCGCGAAATTGTATACCCTGTTTAGGACAGACTCGTGCGAAATTATATACCCTGAATAGGACAGAGAGGACGAAAACCATACCCTGTCCAGCGGCGCATCCCCGTATAGGCCATATAAGGGGGTAACCCCCGGGGGGGAAGTGTACATTTGACAGAGTCTGGGAATTTCAAAAATTATGGCTGTAGCAATCATTTCTGAACATGCTAAGAAACCGATCACCTTGAACATGACTTGTATACATGTGGACATTTCATCCATGCTAATTCACTCTTACATAGGTATGTTTCTCATGCATGAACATGAATAACTATACGTACATGTCCACTTGCATAAACGATTTGGTACTTTTTTATGGAGATTAAGTGCTAACAAGAGAAAATGGGCTAAATGAAGGCTCCTTATATTCTGAATCATAAGTCAGGATCACTTTCATAATTTTTATGAACTGCTTCCTTAATGACATTACTACATGTAATTTATGTTTCAGTGATTATGTTTTGCACCTTATCAGTGTTACAAACAATAGTTGTCAAGTGTCATGTACAAAAACTCTCGATCATTGCCTTAGGTCACCAGCAATAAATATTTTTTCTCCAATTACCAGTATTTACTTGTTGTTTTAACTACAACTTTTTTGTCCTCGCATTTCGTCCACTCATTTATTTGATACGCAGTATCAAAAACAAGTACATCTGCATCTGAGGGCTATAGCAGATACTACTACTCACACAGTTCACAATTAATTATTACAATTGTTATTATTAGAGATGGCACGGGTTAGCGTTTATTAAGCAGACCTCAACTGCATATTGTCCTGCAGTCGTACACTATCTCATCATTTTTCTGTACTGTGGGAGGATCAAATGGGGTGGACACGGACGTATGCAACTTTGGCTACCCTTCCTTAACTACAGCAACCTCACTTAAATCCCAGATCTTATCCCTTTTAAAGCCAGGGCACTGGATTGGAATTTACTCCAACCAAAAGGACATTGAGTATATCTCAGCTTCCATTTGCTGGTTTTCACATGACTAAAATTCAAACCGGTCAGTATAAAACATGGACTGCGGACTGCAGACTACGAACTGCGGACTGGGTATAAAATACGGACTAGGTATAAAACGCGGACTGGAAAACACGGACTGGGTATAAAACACGGACAAAGTATAAAACGCGGACAGCGGACTGTGGACTGGGTATAAAATACGGACTACGGACTACTTTGGTAAAAACGGTGCTAATTGGTTCTAGGTAAGGAAAAATAAGATCAAGAGATCGCTAAATAGCAAGACACGTGAGTTAAAGTTGTAAATACTCC